CTCTGAAGAAGATGAATATCCGGGGAATGTGGGTGAACAGTATTGAAGTGCAAACCAGGAGGACACAGTTCGATGCACGTCCCGCACCGACCACCATGTTGGAATACATTGAGATTGACTCACCCCCCGACTAGAAAATTGCAATCGGGGCTAATCTTGAGAAAGAGATTCGAGAGGGGGTAATCGTGGTCTTAAAGAGGTTTTAGATCTTGTTCGCGCGGGGACCAGAGGACATGCCTGGGATTGACCCTGAGCTCATATGCCACAAGTTGGCCGTTCGGCCTGACGCAAAGCCGATACAATAGAAGAAAAGGTATCAGGCTGCCGAACGACGAGAATTCACGAAGCAGGAGGTGGCAACCTTGCTGAAGATCAGACACATTCGGCCAGTTATTCACGTTGAATGGTTGGCCAATGTAGTCCTTGCCCCGGAGGGATCAACATGGAGGATGTGTGTGGATTACACGGACCTGAACAAAGCTTTCCCCATGGACCCCTATCCTGTGCCGAGAATTGATCTGCTGGTGGATGAAACTGCTAGATGTGAGCTGCTGAGTTTCATGGATGCTTTCAGAGGTTATCACCAAGTCTTTATGCACCCGGATGATGCAGAAAAAACGGCATTCGTCACCTATATAGTCATGTCGTTCGGGTTGAAGAATGCAATGGCCACATTCCAGAGGATGATCAGGATGCTGTTCAAAGAGGTCCTGGGAGTCACCATGGAAGCATATGGGGATGGCATCCTGATCAAGAGCAGAAAGAAAGAAGATCACATGCGGGACATGGAGAAGATCTTCGGGATAATGCAGATTGCGAACATGAGGTTGAACCCCAAGAAGTGTGCCTTTGCAGTCAAGGGGGGCAAATTCTTAGGGTACATGATGAGCGAACGAGGGATCGAGCCTAACCCCGAGAAAGTGAAAGCAATCATGGATATGGAAGCGCCAAGGAACTTGAAAGAGGTTCAGAGGCTGACCGAGAGGTTGGCAGCCCTGAGTAGGTTCTTGGCCAAACTGGCTGACCGGGCAATCCCATTTTTCCAGATCATGAAGAAGGCAAATCCCTTTGAGTGGACAGCAGATTGTCAGACAGCTTTTGAGGAGTTCAAAGCTTACCTGTCTTCCCCTGGTCCTGACCAAACCAAGCCCGGGGGAACATTTGTATATGTATCTGGTCGTGGCTGACCTTGCAATCAGCTCGGTCCTGTTGAAGGAAGAGGAGGGCGTTCAACGCCCGATTTACTTTGTGAGCAAGGCCCTGAACGGGCCCGAAACGAGATATACATTGATGGAGAAAATCATCATGGCTTTAATCGCAGCTATCAAACGACTGACACCATACCTTTCAAGCTCATCTAGTTTCCGTCTACACAACACAACTGCTGGCAACCATCCTGAGGAATCCAATGGCTAGCGGACACATCACCAAATGGTCCCTCCTGATCGGGCAGTACGAGGTGGATTTCAAGACTCACCCCACTACTAAGGGCCAGAGCTTGGCAGATTTTATAGCGGAATGTACCGCTCGGCCAACGGAGGAAGGTTCCAATAGGGCGATCATGAACGACTGGTGGGAGATGTATGTAGATGGAGCGTCCTGTGCCAGAGGCTGCGGTGGGAGAGCTGTGATCACATCCCCTGAAGGGTTTAAAGCATATTATTCTATACACTTCAATTTTAAAGTAGCTAACAATGAGGCCGAATATGAGGCACCTATTGCAGGTTTAAAATATGCTAAAGCCTTGGGTGCCGGTCGGCTGAAGGTCCGATCAGATAGCCAACTGGTAGTCAGCCAGGTGAACGGGTCCGCAGAGGCCAAAGAAGAAAGAATGAAGGCATACAAGGAACTGGTCGAGGAGCAAACCAGTAAATTTGAACAGGTGGTGCTCGACCGGGTCTCCAGAATTGAAAATGTCGAGGCAGATGTTCTGTCAAAATTAGAAAATGTTGTGTTGGATGAACGGGCTGAGATGATCCCCGCGCACATCCAGAAATTTCCACACCGGGAGGTATTGGCCACACCGGCAACGATGGTCCTTCAGGTAGATGCTATATCCTATCCAGTTCCAAGTTGGGTCACAGACATGACCAACTACCTGAAGGATGGTACCTTGCCGAACGACAAGAATGATGCATACAACATAACATCCATCCAAAGGAGAGCCCCAATGTTCGAACTGGTGGATGGACAATTGTACAAGAAAACTTTCGGGGGGCCTTACCTAAAATGCCTCCCGCCTGGTTTGGCAGCTGCTGTGATGGATGAAATACATGAAGGGATCTGTTCGAGTCACCAAGGGCCAAAAACATTGGCTAGGAAGATCATCCTACAGGGATACTATTGGCCAACCATCCAGCAGGACTATATTGCCCATACCAGGAAGTGCAAGATATGTCAGCTATATGCACCAGTTCCCGAACGGCCTGCGACCTTCTACACTCCAATGGCTATTGCATTACCATTTACGAGGTGGGGGATCGACTTGCTAGGGCCCCTACCTACAGCTTCGGGAGGAACGAAGCACGTGATTGTGGGGATTGACTATTTCACCAAATGGGTGGAGGTCGAACCACTGGCCAGCATCACCGACTTTCAATGCCAGAGGTTTCTTTGGCAGAACATTATCTGCAGATTCAGCCTCCCCGAACAGGTGGTAACTGACAACAGAAGGCAGTTCGTGAGCAAGAACTTTGAAGACTTCCTCATCAAGTGGGGGATCAAGCATTCCAGAGCTTCCGTGGCTTACCCTTAGGCAAACGGACAGGTGGAGAATATGGAATAGAACCATCATGGATTGCGTGAAAAAGAAACTGGAAGATTATTCCTCCACCTGGCCCGATCAGCTTAACTACATTATCTAGACTGATCGGGCTGAACTTGCAAGTGTACAAGTGCCGATATAGTAATAAATTCCGGTAAAATACCGGGTCGAATCCACAGGGAAACGTTGTTTAATTTAGTCCGCGAGTAGATGACTTTGAATAAGTAAATGAGTAAAGTGTAGGGATTTTGAGTTGTGTGTTGTTGTGAAAACAACAACTTGGTTCTTCTTTTTAATTTTCAGAGATATAACTTGAATTAATTTGATTAAAGTGATTGATAACAACAACTAAGGCTTCGGGAATCACTTAAATGCTTTAATAGGGTTGAATATTAGTTCTTTACCAATAATTATGAATACGATGTCGCTAATATATTCTCTACTCCGGTTAAGGCAGCGAGAGCGTGGTTTTCGTTACGTGTAAGTCCCGTTACGGCTTACATTCATCTACCGAAAACCCCGTTGAATATCAAGACATCACACCCGTATCATATAATACCGGATATATTTCTATTCTCGGTAATATATATGTTTATCCTTTAATGTTCATAGTTTAGACCTCAACGTTAATTGCAAGCATAAACTAAGTTTAACATACTTCTATGTTGTACACCATAGTCATAAACAATCAAAATGTAAAGGATAAATCACAATTTATTGGTTTAGAACTTTTATCAAACACCTAGTGGGCATAGAAGTTCATCCCTAGCCTTAGCTAAGAACTTAGCCTCTAATGCTCATATTAATTACAAAAGTGTAACTAAGATAAAGGAAATACAATAACATACAAGAAATAATACCTAGAACCAATTGTAGAGGAGAGAAATGGCTTCTTCTCCAACACTTCAAGAGAAAAAAATAAAATATAAAAACTGAAATTTAAGCTTCAAGGATGGATTGATGATGAAGTTTGATGAATTGGGGGCTTTATATAGGCTAAAGATTGACATCTTTTAGTCTATTCGAGCCCAACAATCAAGCATGGAAGATATATTTGATTAGCTCATGAGGAAGGTGAGTTTTTTCCATCAATATATCTCAGCACGATCTTTTGTATTTGCAGGATCAGGCCTACCCGGCGCCGGCCTTCAGGCCTACCCGGCGCCGGGTAAGCTACTGGATTGGTTGGTGCGAAAATCCGACGGGCCGGCGCCGGGTATAGGATGGGCCGGCGCCGGGTAGCTCCTCTTTTTGTATTTTCTCCACTTTTCGCTCCATTTGACGCCCGTTGTTGACCCCGATGTGCCGGTTCTTGGTCCCTTTTTCCCTATTGACTCTCGTTTCTTCATTTTTGACGTCCAAGTGCGATTTCGCTCAAATTGGGATTTTTATCTGTTTTATCTTTGAAAATTTGTACAGATAATCATAATTACCTATATAAAATATAGATAATTGTTGTGCTTATCAAATTCCCCCACACTTGAGCGTTGCTAGTCCTCGAGCAATGTCGTCACTTTGTATGTTTTGGGTTAGTTTCAACAAAGACATATACAAAAATAAATAAAATTTTTTTTAAGAGAGGTAAAAGTGGCATATAAACTCTTTTCTCATTCTCGGTCCAAAAACCATTTTTTTTTTAATTAAATACAAAAAGTATCATTTAGATTTAGAAAACTGCTAATACTCTTGAGAATAAAGGAGTGATTTGTGACTGTGACTCTTTTGGGCGAGTGGGATGGCTTTTTGGTGTGTTTTTGACTTTCAATTGTATGAATCAATTGAGCTACTAAATTGAGACCATGAGTTGTTTACTTTTTTTTTTTTTTTTTTTTTTTTTTTTTTTTAACTCATTTGAAAAAGGTCTTCAACTAGTATTTACTGAAAGTCATTTGATGATGCCAATTTATTTGATGAGGTGTGAGAATGGGTTTTGTGTTCCAAAATGGTGCTTGAATGTAATATTGACCATTTTTTGGAAATGAAGGAAGGAGATGCTTTCTAGTCACAAGAATTTTTTTTTTTTTTTTTTTTTGGAGTAATTTTCAAGAGTAAAGAGTAGTCTAAAGAAAATGATAACTTTTGTAAATAAAATAAAAAAAAAAAACTTTCTCAACCAAATACCCTTTAAAAAGAGAATTATGACAATTTTTACCTTCCTAAAAAAAACATTATTTTTGCACACAAAATTTGTTTTGAACTACCCATGAGATGCACCCCCCCACACTTGTAATACATTGTCTCAATGTATCATGCATGATAAACAAGTACTTTCATAACATCCACAATAAAGGTGTGTTTAGAGGAAAGTAATGTCATGAGAAAAATGAAATAGGAGCAAGGGGGAGTCACTGGTGTGGATCGGGAGGGGGGTACCCATGTTGGGAGTAGTAGTAGTTGGTGAATGTGTCGAAACGCTCCTCAAACCTTTGGTGGCGTGCTTCTTGCTCGTCCATCCGCGTGTGCATTCGAGCCATGGAATGCATCAAGTATGCCATCGCGGGATCGGTGGTGTGTGGCGGCTGTGGTGGTTCGGGTGCGGCTTCATCATCATGAGCATCTTCCATGGCCTCCTCGTTTACTTCATCATCATCTCTGTGCAAACCTATGCCGTCGGCAAAATACCATTTTCCAGAGTTGGACAGTTTATGCTTGAGGGCAATCATTGTTTCTTTGTCCAAGACATTAGATTCATTGGTATAAGCAACTTCCTCTCCATCAAAGTCAACCTGAAAGTGCCTGAAAATCTTGGTGAGTAAAAGGGGGTGACAAAAGTTTTTTGAACCTTGTTTGGAGATCACCACATTTTTCATATTTTTTAGGAGGAGTCGTGGTAGTGGTATCCCTTCTATGTCTCCTAGGCCAACTAGCATCTTTTGAAGAAGGTATAGATCAATCCTCCTAACCAAGTGGCGGTCACTAGCATGTGGGACAATGTTGAAGCCAATAAGATAGACGAGTAGGCGAGCGTGAATGTGCCATAGGTACTTGGTCTGTAGGTTTGTCTTGAGCCCGAAGAACCGCCGTGCATCCGCCTCATTGTAGGAATTGTCACTTAGAATGCCGGTTTGGTTGTATTCCAAGGTAGGGCCCGTGTTGCTAACTTCAAGGATGTTGGAGAGGAGGTCCGGGTCAACTTTGATGTGTCTCCCTTTCACCGTTGTTTGGATTTCCGCGTATCCGGTCTCTTTGTCCGAGACATTAGCGTAAAACTCCCGGACCAACCGGGGGTAATATGCTCCTGTCAATGTAAGCATCATTGCCCATCCAAAACGGGCGAAGATCTCAGTGAGCTTGAAAACAGCGTCGATGTCCGGGTGCACTGTTTTCTCCTCCACAATTTTCCACTTTTTCCGCTCCTCGTACCACTTTTCATTTTCAACCGAAGTGAAACGGTTGCCGGTGAAAGAGGAGGATGAAGCACCAGTATTTTGTTTGCGTTTAGGAGCCATCCTGCAAGGTTAGAAGAGAAAATAGACAAACAACACCATAAACCTCATCAATTCAAGGTATATTTTCCTACATTTTCATGAGTTTCCCAAAAATTCAAGTTTAATCTCAAATTATGCAATCAAGATGTTTGGAATGTTTATATATCAATACAAAGTATTTCAATATCATTCAAGTCATCAATGATAGGAATAATTTGAAATTGAGCAAGAAATTCGGACCTAGGGTTCAAAAATTAAAATTTTGCAAGAATTTCCCCCAATTCTCAACTTTAATCTCAAACTTTGGCAACAATCATGTTTACATTCATCATATGAGCACAAGTAATCAACTTTGAACAATCATAAACATATAATTTGGCCAAAGATCGAAAAAAAATAGAAGAAATTCGAAAATTTGAAAATTTGGGGGTTTTGCCTTTTTACCTTGAATTGATGGAGAAGAAGCTTGGAGATGGTGTTGTGGAGTCTTGGGAGGGATGGATTTAGACTCCTTTGACTTAGAACTCAAAGCTATGTGAGGTTTTGGGGGTTGGGTGTCGTCGGTTGCGAAGCTCGAACGAGGGGGAGTTGGGTTTTGTTTTCGCGTAAGGCAAAAAAAAAAATAAGCTGGGTGTAGCTTTAAACGACAGACCCGGCGCCGGCCATCAGGCCTACCCGGCGCCGGGTAAGCTACTGCCTCGCCCCTGCTTTGTTTTTAAGAGTCCCCGGCGCCGGCCATCAGGCCTACCCGGCGCCGGGTAAGCTACTGCCTCGCCCCCTGCTTTGTTTTTAAGAGTCCCCGGCGCCGGCCATCATGCCTACCCGGCGCCGGGTAAGCTACTGCCTCGCCCCCTGGAGTGATTTAAGAGAACCCGGCGCCGGCTGGTCAGTGGACCGGCGCCGGTTCGCACATTTTCTTTTCTCTTTTTTTTTTTTTTTTTTTTTTTTTTTTTTTGTTCTCAATTATAAATAAATATGAATGTGTTTTTGTAAATGAACATATTTATTTATAATTGAGTTTTGTTCAATTATAAGTAAAGTATGAATATTTTGTAAAACTAATCATATTTATTTATAATTGATATTATTTTTGTTGGGTTGCCTCCCAATTAGCGCTCAGTTTAACGTCGTAGGCTGGACGCAACGTACCTTTTTACTCCTCCAATGGGCAAGTGGTGGTTGCCGAGGTGATATGATACTCCATGTATGGCTTGAGTCGGTGACCATTTACAAGAAATGGTGTTTGGTCACCTTTTTGAATCATCATTGACCCGTATGGTCGGACCTCGGTGATTGTGAACGGTCCCGACCATCGGGATTTTAGCTTTCCGGGAAAAAGGCGAAGTCTAGAGTTGAAGAGTAGTACCTTTTGGCCGACGTAGAAGTCCCTCCGGTTGATGTTTTTATCATGCCAAGCTTTTGCTCTTTCCTTGTAGATGCGGGAATTCTCATATGCATCCCTTCGGAGTTCTTCAAGTTCTGCCATTTGGAACATCCTCCTTGTCTTTGAGAGTGGAGAATCAATGTTTAGCTTGGAGAGTGCCCACTGTGCTTTGTGCTCAAGTTCTACGGGAAGGTGACATGATTTTCCATAGACAAGCCGGTATGGTGACATACCCAACGGTGTTTTGTAAGCCGTCCGATATGCCCATAGCGCATCATCTAACTTTATCGCCCAGTCTTTTCTAGAAGTGGCGACTGTTTTTTCTAGAATTGATTTAATCTCTCGGTTGGACACTTCAACTTGCCCATTAGTTTGTGGATGATAGGCTGCTCCGGTTCGGAAATTGCACCCATATTTCTTTAGCAAGCCAGAAAAATGGGCATTCTTGAAATGTGTGCCATTGTCACTTATGATGGTACGGGGCACACCAAACCGTGAGAAAATGTTTTTCTTCACGAACTCCCCCACACTTTTGCTAGTGTTGTCGGGTAGAGCTATTGCCTCCACCCACTTGGAGACGTAGTCCACGGCTACAAGGATATAGCTCTTCCCATATGAGTTAGGGAAAGGTCCCATGAAATCCAATCCCCACACATCAAAGAGTTCAACCACAAGGATCATATTTTGAGGCATTTCATTCTTCCGGCTAAGATTTCCGGTTCTTTGACATCGGTCACACGCTTTCACATAACTCCTTGCGTCTTTGAATAATGTTGGCCAGAAAAGACCACATTGGAGGACTTTCGCTGCCGTCCGATCCGGACCATGGTGACCACCACAAGGAAGGTTGTGACAATGGTTTAAGACGGACATGATTTCCTCATCGGGTACGCATCTTCTAACAATTCCGTCGGCACAATGTTTGAAGAGATATGGTTCATCCCAATAGTAATGCTTTACATCACTTAGGAATTTTTTTCTTTGATGGAAAGTGAGTGATGGAGGTATAATTTCTTTTGCAAGAAAATTAACAAAATCAGTGAACCATGGTAGTTGTACCTCTTTGATTGCCATGATTTGCTCATATGGGAAATCATCTCTTATCTCCTCTTCCTTGGGGTTGGGGGTGCCTTCGAGTCGTGAAAGATGATCCGCCACAAGGTTTTCACTCCCCTTCTTGTCTCGGATTTCAAGGTCAAATTCTTGGAGTAATAAAACCCAACGAATTAACCTTGGTTTGGCATCCTTCTTGTTCATGAGGTATTTGATGGCGGAGTGATCGGTATAAACAATCACTTTTTGGCCAATGAGGTAAGATCGGAATTTGTCAAAAGCATAAATGACGGCTAGAAATTCCTTCTCGGTGGTGGCATAATTGAGCTCCGCATCATGAAGTAACCTCGATGCATAGTATATGGCATGAAGTTTCTTTTCTTTTCTTTGCCCAAGTACCACACCGATAGCATGATCACTAGCATCACACATCAATTCGAATGGAAGAGACCAATCCGGTGATGTAATGATAGGGGCCGAGGTAAGAGCTTCCTTTAAAGTGTTGAAAGCTTTGAGCCGAGTTGGAGTGATTTCAAAAGGGGCATCCTTGGCTAATAAATCGCATAGAGGTTTAGCGATTTTTGAGAAATCTTTAATGAATCGCCGATAGAAACCGGCATGCCCTAGAAAGCTTCGGATAGCTTTCACCGAATGTGGAGGGGGTAGCTTCTTTATGACTTCAATTTTTGCTTGGTCGACTTCAATGCCTTTGGGAGAAATTTTGTGCCCCAAGACAATCCCCTCGGTTACCATGAAATGGCATTTCTCCCAATTGAGAGCCAAGTCGGTTTCCTCACACCGAGTCAGCACTTTCTCAAGGGAAAGTAAGCACGAGTCAAAAGAATTCCCAAAAACAGAAAAGTCATCCATAAATACCTCCATGAAGTCTCCCACCATGTCCGCAAAAATTGCCATCACACATCTTTGGAATGTCCCGGGGGCATTGCATAACCCGAATGGCATCCTTCTATAGGCAAATGTGCCAAAAGGACATGTGAATGTTGTCTTTTCTTGGTCCTCGGGTGAGATAGCTATTTGAAAATAGCCGGAGAACCCATCCAAGAAACAAAAGAACTCATTTCCCGCAACACGCTCTAGCATCTCATCCATGAATGGAAGGGGAAAGTGGTCCTTCCTTGTGCCGGAGTTCAATTTCCGGTAGTCTATGCACATCCTCCAACCGGTGACCATTCTAGTAGGAATTAATTCATTCTTACTATTGGCTACCACCGTGATTCCACCCTTTTTTGGAACGACTTGAACGGGGCTTACAAATTTACTATCCGAAATGGGGTAAATTATGCCATAGTCAAGGAGTTTGAGAACTTCCTCCTTAACTACCTCTTTCATGTTGGGGTTTAGCCTCCTTTGATGCTCCACCGTGGGTTTGTGATTCTCCTCCATAAAAATCCGGTGCATACAAAGAGAAGGGCTAATACCCTTAATATCCGCCAAGGACCATGCAATAGATGTTTTGTGATCCTTCAATACCCGTAGTAATTTTTCTTCTTGAAGAGATGTGAGTGAAGAAGAAATTACTACCGGGAAAGTTGAGTTGTCTCCAAGAAATGCATATTTGAGGTGCTCCGGTAAAGTTTTCAAAGATGGTTTTGGTGGGACCTCAAGAGATGGTTTTAATGTGGACTTACTTGTTCCAAGATCTTCAAACTTTTGTCGGAATTGTTTGAAAGGAGCTCCGGCTTGTAAGTACATAACTTCCTCAAGAAGTTCATGACTTTCTTCTTTTTCATTGCATCCTAGCATGATGCAAGTTTCCAAGGGGTCTTCATGAATGATTTTCCCAAAACACTCCTTAGCCAAAGTGTCAAGAATGTCAATGTTAAAACAAGAGGGATCATCATGGTGCTTCTTCAAAGAATCCCAAACATGGAACTCTTGCTCTTCATCTCCAACACGGAATTTGACAATTCCGTTCTTGACATCAATAAGGGCAGCTGCAGTGGCTAAAAATGCCCTTCCAAGAATGATAGGGATCTCCATTTCCTCCATCTCCAAAATAAGAAAATCCACAGGAAAGTAGAATTTTCCAACTTTAACAAGCACATCCTCCATAACTCCAATAGGGTAGCGAATTGACCTATCCGCAAGTTGTAAGGCTATGGTGGTTGATTGAAGTCCCCCCACACCAAGCTTTTTAAATAAAGAATGGGGCATGAGGTTGATACTAGCACCAAGATCACAAAGGGATCTTACCTCTCCAATCTTGCCAATAGAACATGGCACCGTGAAGCTTCCGGGGTCCTTCAATTTAGGAGGGAGTTTGTTTTGTAGGATGGCACTACACTCCTCCGTAAGGGAAATGGTAGCAAATTCTGCTAATTTCTTTTTATTTGAGAGTATGCCCTTCAAGAATTTGGCATAAGATGGAATCTCCGCTATTGCTTCGGCAAATGGAATGTTGATGCTCAATTTAGTAAAAATATCAAGGAATTTTCTATATTGAGCACCATCATTCTTTTTCTTCAATCTTTGAGGATATGGAATGGGAGGAACATAGTTAGCCATATTGGATGGTGGCATCATATGTTCCTCATCTCCATCTTCGTTTTGCTTTTTCGGGGTCTCCTCCTCTTCCGGCATCTTCGGGTCCTCCGTCGTCTTACCACTCCTTGTGGTAATGGCCATCACGTTCTCCCTTGGGTTCATCTCCGTGGTTGTAGGAAATTTGCCTTGCTCCCTAGAACTTACTTTTTGAGCAAGTTGTCCCATTTGTACTTCAAGATTCCGAATGGATGCCTTGTTGTATTGCTCAATGGTGTCGATGCGTTGGTTGAGCTTCATATTTTGATCTTCAAATCGAAGATCCAACTTGGTGAATTGAGAGTGGAGATTCCCAATGGATGCCTCCACTCTATGATGATTTTCCTCATTTTGGGCCTTCATACTTGCCATGCTTTTGGACATGAATTGCATCATATCCTCCATGGTAGTCTCCTTGGGTTGCCCAAAATTAGGTGCTCCGGATTGGGGTTGTGAGGAACTAGTTTGTGGCTTCCACCTTTGTTGATTTGAATAGTTATTGTTCCCCCGATTCCCATAGGAGTTCATATAATTTACCTCTTCAAGTTGTTGAGATAAATCACCTTCCGGGTTCGGTATGCTCTCCACGTTGGCTATTTGTTTGACTCCTCCCAATACGGC